TGTGTTCAACATAAGAAAGCAACTCATACAGGTTTGGAACGACATGAGGGTGAGTAAATGACAGAATTTTCATTTGTGGGTGAACTATCCCTTTAACGTACATACGCTATGATCACAATCTCTCAACTCTCAATAATGCCACAGAATGACTCCAACACTAATGTATAAAACAGCTACACAGAATTTCAGCCTGAAAACATTGTCAGTATTGCCTCAAGCAATCTGCTACTAAACCCCCCCCCACAAAAAAAACACTTAAGTTCTTTTGGAGTTCCTTTGTAGAGCTACTATACATTTCTAAATAGTCCTTTTGAAAACCAATGCCATCTTAGAATGAAAAAGGGTACAGAGTGTTTGATTTTTGAAAAACCCTCCTTTCTGTGCTCCTGGAAGCTCTGTCCTGGAAAAGAGAAAAGATGGTTTAATTACAAGTTACAAATAATCAATACTGCTGCCAACAGGAAGCAGTGTATTACGTTTGACGCTTAAAATGGTGAGTAAAAAGAGGCAAAATGATTATACAGAACAAGCACCAGAACTGACAAGTGTCAACATTTTTTCCCGTATTTATGGGGGAAAAAAATGCCACATCTCTGGACTTCGAGTTGACTACCATCATAAGAAATAAAGGTAATCTAATAGCTCTAATTTTGAAGCAATAGGCAATGCTGGTATTTTTATAAATTGGCCAGTTGCTCAACTGCAGCAGGATCCATGGTAAAAAATAAAACACCGGGAGTGTTACCAGCCACTTGCAATTGACAGAAATAAAGAAACAAAACAAGATCCAACAAAACGTACCAACAAAAAAGTAAACCTTTAGGCTACTCTTGATTCCATAACATAATACCTCTTACATTATTTTGGACTAACAGCTTGTCAAAAATATGTCAAAAAGAGACCAATTATTCAATCTCTGAAAACTTGTCACATGTGTGATTACACATGTGGACAGTTTCCCCAAAGTTAATCTACACTTACAATGAAGTTACTAAAAGATTCAATATGAATCCGTTTTTCTCTCTTATAAGACTGTTTATAAATATTATGTCTTAAAAGATTTATACTTGGAAATATTTTTTAAAAAGTCTCTCAGACTAGATAAAATGTTTTAAATCCATAGGATTAACTCTATTTACATAAATACATTCAAACCAATAAAACTGAAGAAAAAAAAGAAAACTGTGTCCTATACCAATTTTAAACAGAGCATGTCTAGAAAACTCAAAGTTAACAAAACAAAAAAGCTTAATAGTTTTAAGTGGATCCATATGTATTTTATAACATTATTCATAATCTTACCCATTATATGTATTTCTGTGATTCCTAGAAACTTGTGGTGCAAATTAATACAAACACATAGACAAATAAGGTACTGTGATTAACCATTCCCAACTACTATATTATAATAGAAGATGGTATATCAGGAAATTACAAGTGCATCTTAAAACAAGAGGCGCTGAAGGGTAGCAACTTTACAAACGAACTTCATAGACATAATGGCCCCAAACTCGTGGACACAGTGAGCATTAAAATCATAACACACAAAAAACCTCAGATGTTTCACTTCACCTGATTTGAGAGAAACTGTTGCACCTTAATTGGAAACAAAATCTTTTCCCCTAAAATCACTTTCTACGGTTGAACAGAGAAACATTCAGGAGGTTGGAGGAAATTGGGGAAATGAGTAAGTTGTGTTCAGAATAATAAAACACATGCAAGAGGGAATCTCCAAACACAGAACAACATCAGACAACAGTTAATGGTGATCAAAACAGTTGGCTTCACATACCCGTATTTACATGGTATATATGTGACCATCTTTTATTTTTCATCTTTAAAATATCCTCAAATAATAAGCTCGAAGTTCTCCAATAACAAAACTGTTGTAAAATGACCAAGGGATACTTTTTATATTTATATATAAAAACAAACTGAGAAAAGAAATTCACCTGTCACGTACTACTTAGATATTTTTAAACACGGAAAGATTTCAAGATGAGAAAACAACAAACTTGACAGCTTCATACACAATTTTTTTTTCATTATATACAAGAAAGTGACCACTGATAACAGTTGCTCCCAAATCCTTTGAAATTGCAGACCTGGATGTGTTAATATCTACAGACAAGTTTTATTTTTATTGAAATGGCCCAAACTATTTTTGATTAGATTTTGTTATACTATCTAGAACGGAGATATTTTAGATACTACAACAAGGCTTTGTTTTTGCTACACAAGTAGCATATAATGTAAAGTGGTTGGATTAACATTACAGTCACAAATATGACCACTAATGCACTAGATCTAAGATCATTTCTGGGGCCATAGCGTGACAGTTTAGGTTAAGCTGTACAATTAGACATAACCAAGCACTATGCTTGCACAGTACTGATGGACTATTAGTATTATTAATATAAATAATAATGATGATATAACAACAATTGGAGGTGTGACACACTCATGATTAAATCCATGAAATCATTTTAAAGGAGTGTAATATATTGACTGGAGACTGAAAATGTATGGGATTTGTGTTAAAAAAAAAAAAAAAAGCTTGGGTAATAACTTATAAAATAAATGGGAAAATAAAGTGGAAAATAGACATAACGTATTTTCAAAGGGCACTTGACAGCTGATTTGGACCCTGATTTTATCCCTAACTACTCTCAGTTCATAGTAACCTGCATTCCCATCTGACCGACTTCAAAACAATGAACTGAGTTATAAGCATAGAATTACAAATAGTCCAAAATACCTTTCTTCACAAACAAATAACCAAGCTGTTGTTGTAAGCAGGATAGTTCTGACCTCTTCACAATTCACAAACGCATCTAGTGCTCTAGACAAGCAAACAGAGCTTCATCAATAAAATCATCACACAGGCCATGATTCAGCAATCCTCTTCCACACACAATACTGGTTGTGTGAAAGAAAACTAAACACGTTAAAAAGTAGTATTACTAAAGGGCGACACTTTCTGATTGCCTTTAATATTTGCTTAGAAGCCATTTCTAACAACAATTAAAATAATCTAAATACGCAATTCCAGCACCAAAACTTAAAATCAAAGTATAAAAGCCATTTATTGTCAAATCGTTTTTCAGCTGTCTTTAGGTCACAAAGACACACGTCATGAACCACCACTCCAGCTCTGCAGAACAAAACCCAACTGCAATACAATTACAATGGTGAAAGGGACCATGAATAAACTTAAGATCATGAATAGTCATAGAAAAAAAAGAGACCCCTGCAATATCACAGTGGCTTCCAAAAAATACATAACTAGAAAAAAAGCTCAACCCAAACCAGCACTTCAACATCTCTACCAAGCGGTGCTACACACTCTGATGTCCACATGCCCTTAGCTATACCCCAACATACAGAGCGCCATACCGAAGGCATCTGCTACCCTCTACAGGTGACAAAAACAACTGCAGCATACACATTACTATTCAATCAGGCCAAACCACCTGCTTAACTAGCTATACCCCAACATACAGAGCGCCATACCGAAGGCATCTGCTGCCCTCTACAGGTGACAAAAACAACTGCAGCATACACATTACTATTCAATCAGGCCAAACCACCTGCTTAACTTTGTTCAAGTCAATGACTGTGGAAATTCCACAAAAAAAAAAAAAAAACATTCTGGAAATCCTATTTGACCAAAAACAGCCATTCAAAAGATTTTTTCTAATTACGTTGAGAGCTAGAGGATGGGAGCAACTATTATCAACTGGCATAAAAATGTCTTGTTTCATACCTCTGTCTCTTTTCACCTGCTGGTTTAGACCATTACTGATTACTCCATATAAATGAAAGTACAGAAACAAGTGCGAGACTTCATGCCAAAGTCATTCACGACATGAGTTCAATGCTGTGCCATTTCCAGCATGTTTTTGATTCCTTCATGCATGTGGCTTGAGTTTGTCGACAGCACTCTCCACACAGATTCCAAAGCTTTAGCCTTCTGATTGTGCGTCTGTCTTTCAGAAAAAGACGTTCTCTTCTTGCTCACTTCTCATCGTCTGGTCTGTTGAACTGACTTGTTCCTCAGCCATCAATAACGGAAACATCGATGTGAGACAAATCTATCATGTGCCTATGTAATCAAGGGAACATGTGATGGAAATGAGACACACACACTTAAAAGCAAGCTAATCTGAGGCATCTCCATCAAAACATGACGATTAAGTAGAGTCACAGTAGAGCTCTTGTTCTTTGTTTTGACAAGTAATACTTCCCGATGCTGCATTTCGGCACATTTCATTTGCCCTTCGGCTACACAAACTATTAGGCATAACAACTCTGATCTGCTTCAGCCAATAACACCAACACCTTAATATTCAGGCCTACTCACAACATATTTGAAGAGACTTCATATATTTGATATTTGATACCTGTCCTACAACACTTACAATTTTTGGGGGTTATTAACGTAAAACAGACATGAAGTCTGTTTAGAAGGTCTATAGGAATTCACTGTTTCTATTCAAAATCTAATTTGCAACAGACATTTACAATGCATATTTGGCCTCGTTGTGAATAGGCCTCATTCTAAAAAAAATCTAATTATCCACCAAAGGTCAACTACATTTTGTGCATGCATGTATTGTGCATAAACAAACAGCACAATTCAGTTTAAGATGAATTCAAAAGCTTACCTGTGAAAGCTGTGCTGAAAACTCACTGCATGCTGTGGGTTCACAAACTTGGCAATGGCCTTCCGCTGCTCCGGCAACATTGTAAACATCTATAAAAGAATCACCAAATTATCAATTAGCCGAAAGTTTTTTATCTAAATGCTCATCTTCATGTTTCAGTAAGAGATGGCCTCTGTTTCTTTACCCTGTGACAGTGGGTGATACACCAAGATCTGGGAGAAAATCACAACCCAGAATGCACACAGCTAGATGGCGCTATTGTAATATTTTGAGAAGAGCACTCTACCCAGAAAACAGTTTATTCTTGGGGTCATAGTCTTCTCAGGAAACAAATCTTCTCCCAGGTCAAAGTGTTTTGCAAACTCCATTTGATTTTTAATGAAGTTTACGTGAGGGATAATTTACAGCTAGGAGTGCATTAAATTATTTTATTGCACAACATGGAGGCAAAGAACAAGCTTATGTATTTTCACCACGTACACAATGGTCATTTGCCAGCATGGACAAGGTAATGCTGTCAATTGATTACGTTTACATGGACATCAGTAATCTAATTATTTACCGATTAAGGTGTGTACATGTCTATACTGCACTTCAGTAATGCGACTAAAATAGGAATACTCCATGTCTTAATTCGATTTCTGTTTACTTCGAATATGACTTTAGCCGGATTAAGGTAATCAAAAATCTCTCTTTACATGGTAGATTCTTAATCAGAGTATTGTCTTAATCGTGTTAAAATCGGATTATTGTTGTCCATGTAAACGTACTCATTGATGACTGCAGTGCAAATTTTGATGAGAGTTAATTTCCATTAGTTATTTTATCTACAGGATGTCAGATCTAGAATTCTGAAGATTGTTCTTATGAATTACCTGTGCAGCATCTCTCTACTAATAGTCAAGCTGTGAGTTTCATTACTTCAAAATAGGGCTATGCAAAATCGCGTTCAAAATCGGCAATGAATCGCCTGTGATTTTGAACGCGATTTTGCATAGCCCTATTTTGAAGTAATGAAACTCACAGCTTGACTATTAGTAGAGAGATGCTGCACAGGTAATTCTTAGCTGAGGTAACACTTAGCTGAGATATATAATGTAGCATTTCAGTAATTAAGCTATTTTAGTACAAGCGGTGTCTGTATGTTTGTGATTGTGCTACAATGAAGGAAGTACATTAATTTCAACGGTGATCAAACTGACTGGAACTACCTATGCATTAAACTGTTTAAATGAATATGAAGTTGACTTTCTTGTTCTAATGATATTATGGCTTTTAAAATGGTTAAACAGCTTTAAGTTGACACTTAGTAATATACTGTAAATACATTGTTTAATGTTTTTTGGCCATCAGGTCATGCCAGCATCAATTTGTTGTTGTAAGCTCAGGGCATTGTAGCAATGATATATATATAGTAAGTTATACATAAAATTCACACACTCCCCTTTTGACGCTTGATACCTAATAAAAATAAAAGCCAGAAATGTGAATTGATAAGTCAGAAAAAGTTAAGGAAGCCTTACCTCAACAGGGCCAATGGAGTTGAGAAGGTTCATGAGCTGTTTGTTGGTTGTGGTGGTGGATAAACCTTCAATGCAGACGGTGCTTCTCTGACAATCCTGAGCTCTTGGGTTCTGCTGCATCACACGCCCCCCACCACGGCCACGTGCTCGACCCCGAACTACCACCTGTGGACATCAGGGAGGGGAATATTGAATAATGATGGAAAGAACAATTAACAGTACACTCTACACGCTAACAAACTCTGATATTATTAAAAAAAAAATAAGAGGAGTCAGTGCTATAATATGATGCTGGAACTAAGGATCATATTTGTTTAACTCGCTGTTATATCCGTTAGACATTTTTATACAGTGGTTCATAGGAAATATCACAATTTAGTAACTGCTCTTAAAAACAGACATTATAATACATACTCATTTAATGTTAATATTATCAGAGGCATTGTTAGACTTCCATGGTTTAACCATATGATCAAATGGTTGCAAAAAGCCAGGTAAACCATATTAACTAATTTCCTGTAGCCTTGATTTAATTACAAGTTATTAAATAACCAAAGCTACAGAATATTAGTTCATAAACTTCCTTACTGAAATCACTTGTTTATTGTTATTTGTGCTTGTGGTTAAAAAAAAGAAGACAAAAAGTGTATTCGCAACATCAAGACGAAGTGCTTTTTGTCTGAAATTGGAGAGAAAGTCCACCAATCTCTTCAGCACTTTACTGATTAAGCCTGTGAAGCAGCTAGAAGCAAGGGAGTTCTGAAAAAGGCCATCATTAAGTCACGCCCAAAGCCTGCTAGAGGCCATGTGACAAAACCTGGTGAATGAAAATGATGTGGTCTGTTGAGACTGAAGCTGAGCTCTTTGGCCTTGAAAGCAAAGCTCTGTGCTGGTCACAAACCAAAGACAGACAATGCTTCAGCATAAGCCTTTCATTTTATAAGACAATAAAGTCTAATGTTTTTAAAAGTCTTTTATGCTCACCAAGACTGCATTTATTTGATCAAAAATAATGAAAAAAAAAATAATATATATATATATATATATATGTCCACAATCCACATTCCATTCAAAAGAAGGAAAAAAAAAAAATAGAGATTGATTACACTGGTCAAAAGAGAGAAAGATGTCAAATTTGCCATAACTCCAACAGCCTTTGCAAAGTATAGTTTTATAAACGTACATTAAA